CCTCCGATCACACTACTCCTCAATAAGCTGATATGCAAAATTCCCAAATTCATCACCGAACGCTTCAATTCACAGAAACCCTAGAAATTATAGTACTGTAGAAATGAGAAGAAGACCAGGAATTGGAGGACTGCAATCAGCTGTCGCTGCTAGGGTTTGTTCTTTTCACCCTTTTAATATTTAATTGTAATATGCGTATTGATCTGCCTAAAACTAACATCTCTGTTGCAGTTGATTCTAAGTGATTTTTAATTTTTTTAACTATATAAAATCCCAGGATCAATATCGATTGCTAGGAGAAAATGTAGCGAAGCTGAGGACTGATCTCATGAAGGAGCAGCTCGCCACTTTCCGCTCCCAGCTTGAAGAATTCGCCCGAAAACACAAGGTCACTTTCTAACTTTTCTTCTACTTGAAATATGTATGTTTATGAATTTTGAGATAGAACGATCCTATGAGATAATATTGAAATTTGATGAAAATTGAGCTAGTTATAGAATAGGGTATGCTATACTTTAGGCATTTGATTCATTAAACTTTGAAAACATTGAAAGTTTGTATTTTTAAATCTGTAAGAAAAAAAAGTTGGCATTTTGAACTTAGTGATATTTGGATTTTAAGTTTGGTATCTTAACTAGAAGATGAACGGGTGGATAATATTGATGGGCATTACATAAATTCAATGCTGGATTATTTTGTTTGTGTTGGGAAGATGTGATGATGGGTTGAGGATTTACGTGGGTTGATGCAGAATGACATTCGCAAGAACCCAGCATTCAGGTCACAGTTCCATGAGATGTGCGCTAAAGTGGGAGTGGACCCTTTGGCCTCAAATAAGGGTTTCTGGGCAGAGCTGTTAGGGATTGGTGACTTCTATTACGAACTTGGTAGGTTAAACATTTCATTTTAATATACATTTTTCAAGTGTTGGTTTTTAGCTTAAGATGGTTATCTTTCAGCTGTTCTCTATGAAAGGAGAAGAGGCATGTGTGTTATGAATGCCTTTCCTACATGAATTGTCAAGTTAATTTTTACCCATTACTCTTTTTGTTGCCAACTATTAATTGATATGATGCCTTTAAAAGGCTGCAATGTTTATGCACTTATTCGCATGATGCCATGTTGCCTTTTGATGTGTTCCATTCGAGTTGTACTTTAATTCTGAGATCAGTCTTTAGGTGGTTTTTTTATGTACCTGCAAAGGTCTCCACATTTTTGACATGCTATATTGGTTTATAAAGCCTGTAAATTTTCCATTTAAGAAAAGGTTCCCATTCTTCCCACCAAATTTTATCTTATCAATGAAAGGCATTTGCATGAAGCCTTTGTAGAATGCTAATATTGAAATTTTGCTACTTGGCTAGACAGGGGTACAAATTGTTGAGATTTGCTTGGCAACTAGGCCCCACAATGGAGGCTTGATCAACTTACAGGAATTGTGCAATCTACTTCGTCAGAAGCGGAAGCACGATCGTGAAGCTGTGTCTGAGGATGATTGCTTGCGAGCTATAAGTAAGCTAAAGGTATTGTGTTGAAGTTACTCTATATTTGTATCACAGTTATACTACCTTTACCTTGGTTTAGGAAATTGACATGTTATAGGATTCTTCAATAAGTTCCTATAGTACAGGCATTAAAATTGGTGAGACATGTTCTATTAGTTCTGTTTCTGTTATTCTTTTATGCTACTAATGCCCTGGATAATGCAAAGTAAATTAATTATAACATGATGAAAGGATGAAACAAGTTCTCAGTTTAAGATTCTATGATATCATAAGCATTGAAAACACTTTTTTTGGGATTTCTCAATCAGTCATTCTCTGATGCTGTTTTCTTTCCTTTTTTTTTTTTCTTTTTATTTTGTCCTTTCCCCTCATACAGAATAGAGTAGGGAATTTGTTACTGGTAGTTGACACATTTATTTTGTGCTAATTTACTAGCAGTGGATGTTATATTTAGAATTTAGTATCAGATAGGTTGCTTTTGAGCATATGTTAAACGGCCGTGCTAATTATGGTAATCCAATTTTCAAGGTAATGGGCAGTGGGTTTGAGGTGATTACTGCTGGAAAGAAGAAGCTTGTTAGATCTGTTCCAACTGAATTGAAGAAAGACCACAATGAAATTTTGGAGCTGGCTCAGGTTTGTTCTACTTCCTTTTTAGATCATTTATGAATTACCTCCAAATGAAATTTCTATTTTGTCTTCCTTATGCTCTTCCTAAGAATATCAAATTGAATAGCTCATATCGCATTCAGTGAAGTAAGGTTTAGAATTTGGTCAAAATAACTTCTATCTTTACAGCATGAGTAAATGGGACTTCATCTATCTAGAAGTGTTGCTTTTTATGCATTCGAAAAAGAAAAGCCTAATTTTTCTGGTTCTTGCCTTGGTTAAGCATACGTTCTGTTCAATCTGGGGAATGCCTATGGCTTGAATTATATGTATCAAGTAGAAGTATAAAACTCAATCTTATGGCTCTGTAACCTGTTTCTGGTTTAAATAATGATTGTCTAACAAGTGTTCCACTTCCAATCTCTTTAGGCCCAGGGCTTTGTAACAGTCAATGAGGTAGAACAACGGCTTTCCTGGACTCATGGTCGTGCTATCGATGCCCTTGATACCTTATTAGAAGTAAGTTCTTGTAAACACTTCATTTTGAACAATTAATAGAGACTGGATCTCTGTGCCTCATAAGCCTTGTTGGATGATGCAGGAAGGTCTTGCAATGATTGATGATGGCCACAGAGATGGTAAACGCCGTTATTGGTTCCCTTGTGTATCTTCCGTCTCCTCAGTAGGCGCTGATAGTTAAAGATTAATTCTTCTGTGATACAATATTATCATTGTTTTCTACAACTGTTTGATGAGAACAGAACAACATAAAGACATGGGAAATTTTAATTAATTTCTCCTGGTTCAACTTTGATATGTTAAAATGTTGGTGAGCAATAAATGTATATTCATATTTTGGCACCAAGAAAAGCTAAAGAAAGCAATTCATTTGTCTGAGCATTACACTAGATAGACAAATCATTGGAATATGTTTGTACTTTTAAATAGTTCCCCGTAATTGGGAAAGAAAAGAAGAATTTAGCAAGGGTGGAAACAATCATTGCACTGCAACCTGAGATGCAGTTTCAGTGTCGTCAATCCATTCAATGCTGGGCTCACTCCAAGATCGGGGTCTAACGCCCAGCCTGAAAAACAGAACCATCTCTAGCGCCTCAAAAACCTTGTGTTTATCCAAGAACTGATTCCAAACTCCACTGACTATACAGTAGTTATTGTTATAAGGTGGCCGGTGGTGGGCAGAATGTTGTGACCGTGAGACAAGCACCCCGACATCCTGCAGAGCCACCACAAGGGGAGGAAGCTTGCTCTTGGTGCCATGAGCCCAAGCGTGAAACTGCTGGCTGAACATGATGCAACCCGAGCACAAGGCAACAAACCCATGAACAATAGGATCATTGCAGAGAAGGTCTATAGGGAGCACTGAAAAAGTTATGGCACGAGCCAGGGCATGTAGATTGTTGGCAAACTGGCGCCTAGTGATTGTCCAGGGCCACTTATGGTGCCCCTCAAATGCTTCAATCTGAGCACCAAAAACTGGAGTTGAAGCATCCCCATAATTGTCAATGCCCCAGTGGTAAACACCAGAGCCAAGATCAGCTAGGACATAGCCAACATACCCTGCCAACACAGGTTCAAGCCACACATGTGAACTGGCTGCGCCCACTATTGCTTTAGCTAGGGAAAACATCACCGTGGCGCACCCACTTGCCAACCATACCCGGTGAGACCATGTTGACTGCAAACTTGGGTCATTGAGCAAGGGAGGGGAAGCTGGTGAAACCAACTGATCAGGAGACATCTCAATCCGTGGTTCAACAACCAGTTGGCTCTGGTTGAGCCTAGGCTTGGTGGTAGCTGAACATATTACACGCAGGACGAGAGGGCAGCGGCGGGGGCACGAGTGGACATGGTTCAAAGACCTTAATGGGTACTTGTGTTGAGGGAAGACAGACATTTTCAATGGCGCCTAAGAGAAAGCAATTCTGATTTCCGATGCAAAGCAATATATGAAAGAAAACAGTGGCTATAGAGTCTTGAAAAAAGTTAGTTGTTCTTGTGGTAACCATAGAGGTTACGTGGGACTCTGGAAAACGCTATAGCCTTCTTCAAGTGAGTTTTTTTCCTCATACACATAAAAGCTATTTGGGATTGGGATTTTCATGGAAATTTTTTTGCCGAGAAGAAAGGTCTTTACTGTCTTAGTACAGAAGTGGTCCAGCCATCCAGGCCCAGCTTTTAGTAGAGAATTCCTCCTCCTCAAACTTGGGCTAGAAAATGTGGTAGTTTCCAGGGACAGGATGCAATGATTGTGACAGAACAGGAATCTCAATGTCCTCAAGCATCTAACTTTGAGGTTCCATTATAAATAGGGAAGCATCCAATATTTTGTTTGTCATTATGGTATATGATTGTTTTATGTGAATTTATGCCATAACTATGAATTGGCATTATAGATTGGATTTTTTTTTGCCTTTTCTTTCCAATAAGAGTGTGGTAGATAAAATTTGAGTCTTTATATTATTTTACTTATAGAATAAAAAACTTTTGGTGGTTATATTGTGTGTATTTTTTTTTTTCATAAAAATCTTTGTTTAAAATTAAGCTTAGGAGTTCAATTTTTTTTAATACCCAATAGTTAACTTTTGATGCATATCTATATATATATAAACATTTTATAAGGGCATTTGAGCATAATTATTTTAAAGTTTCTTATAAGTAAAATTTTCTAATTTAAGTTATTTATTTATCTTTTTTGAAAAATTTGGTTATAAAACTCCCTTTTGGCTAAAAAAAATTCAGAATTTTCCTCAAAAAATATGCCAAACCTATAAGAGAGAAAATTTTATAGCCAAAAGAAGAATAAGAGAAAAAAAACCTAAGCCAAATAACCCTTATAAATAAAGAAAAAAAATTATGAGTAGGTAGTAAAAAATCAGAAATGAAAAAGCGTGAGCATTTTTTATGGTGAAAATGAAGGTGCGGCACGTGACTTTCCATTCAAAAAAGCCCAGAGTCCAGAGATGACAAATCCGACCCGGCCCGATCCGTTAGCTGTCCATAAAAATACGGATCAGGGTCCGCCACCGCTCGTTTTGACCTCAATGATAATCAAAACAAGTATATACGTATCTTTCTTTTTTTTTCTTTTTTCTTTTTTTTTTTTATAAGTAAGAAGACAAATGTAATTTTCACCGAAAAAAAAAAAGACAAATGTAATGTATTGTACGCATTAATTGCTTTCTTTCACGTTATTTGTATAAAAATCAGAAGGAAAATTTTGGAAGAAAACTACACGTGTGTTCATACCTAGACTAATTGTCGTACGTCCAAGAATAATTAATTAAAATTTAAATATTTATTTTTTTTATTTTTAAAATACAAGAGACCCTTAAATTTTTTTGGTATTGACAATTGAGTTCTTATAGTTCTATTGGTAGCAAATCAACCTCTCATCTTCTTAACTTGCAAAAATATATCCTCCCAAATTTGGGGTGATAAAATGCTCTAATCTTGCAACGTCTTCGATGATAATAATTTACACCCTTATGAAATCTTTCTTCAGCAGTAAGACCAATTAGGTCAAGATGGCTCTTTTAATTTCCAACTATCTTGTTTTCAAATCCACACTAAATGAAAACAAAAGTTACTTATCACACATAATTATTAAAAATTTGTTTGTTATTTACCTTATATTATTTATATGAAGTTATTTATCTAACATGATTGATTTTTGTTAAAAACACATTGAATAAACATTATAAATTATAAATTACTAGTTTTAGATTTCTAGTTGGCCATGAAAAACTTACACATCAATATGAAGAAAATACTACTCCCTTTGTCCCAAATCATTTTTTGATTTTTAAATTTTTTTTTTCATTTTTAAGATAAATAAATATTTTTTCTACTCTAATTCTATTATTATCTAATCATTTGAATTAATCATTTAATTACAAAAATCTCTCTTTATCTTTTATTTTTATTTTAAAAATTTGAATTCTTTTAACTTGTGCCATAAAAACACTTTTTCAGCATTATTTGGCTTTAAAAAAAATAAAATTTAGCATTTATTTAATCAATCGTCTAATTAAAACAATACATGGACATTGGTGATAAAATTAATGTCAACTTTTGTTATTTTCTATACAAATTAATATAAAAAAAGTATATTACTTACATCCTTAACTTGTTTTAAGGGTACATGTTAAATAAAACTTAAAAATATTATAAATAAATACAAATATTATTTTTAAATACTTAATTTTTTTTTTTAAAAAAATCACATTAATTTTGGGAGGGAGGGAGTGAGTTCACTATCCAAATGCAATGAATTTATGCTAGTAGTGGTTGACTGGCTAATTAGCTATCAGAAAAACCAAAGGTCTCAATTGCCAATAATTGAAGACGTTTGAGGGCTTCCTTGCAATTATGCCTGTTCATAATCAAAGTCCAAAAAAACTTAAAATAATCCAGAGAGAGACGAGAAACGAGAAGGCAGAGGAGTTTTCGATCTTCACTTCTCTCTCCTTCTCAATCATGGCGTCTTCCTCTTCCCCATCATCTTCTTCTTCATCATCATGTCTTCTTTGCACCGCACTGATACTCGTCCTCTCCTCTCTCGTCGCGCCACATGTCGCCGCTGCGCCATTACCTTTCCACCCACGTGATGTGCTGCCTTTATTGCCTCGCCAGGTCTCATGGCCGATTCTCGACTCTCTCAATAGCCCCGATGATCTCCTGCCAACCTTCGTTGGTGCTGCCTCTGCCAGAAACAGCACTGTGAAATGGAAAGGTGCGTGCTTTTATGAGAACAGCGCTTGGATGGAGTTTCATAATAAGAGTGGCGGTGAATTTGGTGGCGGGACTCTCCATATCAAGGTGGATATTCTGTTTGATAGCTTCGTTTTTGTTTGAATTTTAGTTTATGGAAGTTTGTGGAGTATTTTGGAATTGGGGTGTTGAGTATTTTGGGTTTTTGTTCTTGAACTGTTGAACATTCGGTCTTCTTATCGAAAGGAAATTTGTAGATTTTGCAGAATTTGTGTATGGTATGTTAGGAAATTTAGAGCAATTTGCATCTAGGAAGTAAAATTTTTGAGTTTGCTAGCTGAATATTTGATGATTTTCTGTAGAAGGCGCCTTTTTTTTTTCTTTTTCTTTTTCTTTTGAGTTTCATTCATTTTCCTGTTGTTAAATATTAGCAAAGTGTTCTCTTAACTTCATGTTTGAACATCTATATTTTAGTTATTATAGTTTGTTGAATTTAAACGCCAAATGATCCACAGTAAATGACCTTATATGATCTTCATTGTGATATGGAGCATCCATTATATAGGTGTGGGATTTTGTGGCGTTTATGTTAGGCGGTTGAATTCAAATCTTAAAATCTAATGGGGATGATGAGTCCATGACTTAAGCCTCCAGGTGATGCTAGTTGGGGTTGCAGAAATTTATTGGACTTGAGTGGCTGAATACTGTTACATGGTAATTGTATTTGGGACAATTTTTGCATTCAATTTGGTGATTTTTTTTGTGAGGCCTCTGATGGGAAACATTCCTACTTAACTTAATTTTATATTTAGATGATTTTCACATTGAATGTTTTGTGAGGTTTTTGGTACTTAATTTTTTAAGACTTAGCCACTTAGGAGTTCTGAGCCTGAAATGATGTAAATTTCACTTTCCTTGCGCTTATCCAGGTTAACAAAGCTCATAGCTGGACCTGTATGGATCTTTATGTCTTTGCAACTCCATATCGTGTAACATGGGATTACTATTTCTTATCTCGGGACCATACACTTGAGATCAAGCAATGGGAAGGGAAAGCTGAGTATGAATATGTAAGTTGCATCAGTTTTGTAGTTTAAGAATGTAAAAGTTGGAACCTTTTATCTTGTTCTCAGGCATGCATCTTTATTTCTTGCATGGTTCTTATGATATATTGAATCAGGTGAAAAACAAGGGAGTTTCAATTTTCCTCATGCAAGCTGGGATGATAGGGACACTCCAAGCCCTGTGGGATGTCTTCCCCCTGTTTACAAATACCGGCTGGGGTGAGAATTCCAATATTGAATTTCTCAAAAAACACATGGGGGCTTCTTTTGAACCACGCCCTCAACCCTGGGTTACCAACATAAGTGTTGATGATATTCACTCTGGGGATTTTCTTGCAATATCAAAAATCCGTGGGCGGTGGGGCGGTTTTGAGACTCTAGAGAAGTGGGTCAGTGGGGCTTATGCTGGTCATACTGCTGTTTGCTTGAAAGATTCTGAAGGGAAGCTATGGGTTGGTGAATCAGGCCATGAAAATGAACAGGTTCTTATTATAAACAATTAACATTGTCCATTTCTCTTCTAAATTGTTTTTATAATCTATTACAGCTACATCCTTAAATAATTTATTTACTTAGTAAAGGTTCCTTTAAATGTTTTTGATGAGATCTTAGTTGCATATTCATTGCAGTTTATGTGATGTTATGTGCCAATTTTTGTCGAATTAATCCTTATTTCCAACTAATGCAAATTATGTCCTTGTTTTAGAACCATCAAAGTTCATACCCTCAATTCTGGATTTGGTGAAAGTTCATGTCCTTATTTTCAGGTTTTACCTCCTTTTTTTTTTTTCTTTTTTTTTTTCTTTTTGGGTGTGCTTTTCGGGGTGCAGGGAGAAGATGTCATTGCTATATTACCATGGGATGAATGGTGGGATTTTGAGCTGCATAAGGATGATTCAAATCCTCATATTGCATTGCTTCCTTTGCATCCTGATGTACGAGCCAAGTTTAATGAGACTGCCGCATGGGAATATGCACTAAGCATGGCAGGCAAACCATATGGTTATCATAATATGATATTTAGCTGGATAGACACAAAAGATGGGAACTATCCACCTCCATTGGATGCTCATCTGGTATGCAAATGATATTTTTTGAAAATTACATGTCCAGTCAAGTCTTCAATATTTTTGTTGATATTAGAATATTGCCCCCTACCCCCTCCTATACTTCTAATGTTTCTACCTTCTTCTTTTTTTAATTTCACCTTGTGAGGTGATGTTTGCAAATATGAACTTTTGGTCAACTAACTAGTGTCCTGTTAACCGTTATGGCTTCATCTTTACTAATCAATAAAACATGTTGTTGTAAGTATAATTTGAATGTTGATGTTCTGAAACTTAGTTGAGGACAAAGTGACTTCTTAAGACTTCTTAAACATGCTTGAAATGAACTGATTTAGTCCGTAAATGCGTGCATGGATTATGCTTTTAAGAGGTTTTGCCATTCCAAAGAGTTTAGGCTTTGCTTTTTGGTTCCACAGGTAGCATCTGTTATGACAGTTTGGAACAAAATTCAGCCTGATTATGCCGCTAACATGTGGAATGAAGCCTTGAACAAGCGACTTGGAACAGAGGTATAAAATAGGGGTAGAGATCATATTGGTTGTTACCTTTTTGGTACATCATATTGGTAGTTACTTCGTAATTAATGGGAAGTTGTCTTTATAAATAGGAGTTATATCTAAATTGATTGAGTTTTTTATCTGGAAGATAGCTTGGACATTTGGATATAAAGTACAAGTTAAGCTTCTGGGCATCACTGGTCTGTCTTGTTTTAACCTAAGCCACCATAGTGTTAGTCCTCAAGTTCAAAGCTTATTGAAAATTCTATAGCACCTTTAGTCTTTAAAGATGTTGATTGGCTGGCTGTGGTCTTTTTTTTTTTTTTTTTTTAATTAATTAAATATTATCTTTAAAACCCCATGTGTTGTTTTGGTTCTTCGTCTCTGTCTAAACATTTTGTTTCATGCAGGACCTGGATCTTCCAGATATATTAGTGGAAACGGAAAAGCGTGGATCGTCTTTTGATGAATTGCTGATGATTCCCGAGCAGGATGATTGGGTATATAGTGACGGGAAGTCAACATCATGCATTGCTTTTGTTCTTGAATTGTACAAGGAGGCAGGACTCTTCAATCCAATTTCTGATTCTATTCAAGTCACTGAATTCACGGTGAGTTTGTTAGGTAAATAAGTCCTCTTATTTTTTGTATTATCAGGATAGGATGGGATCTAATACTAATAAAATATTTTACTTGTTTGCATATATGTTAATAAGAGCTAGGATCTATCCTGCCAAACCTTTTAGCTACCTTAGCAGTAGCTCAGTGGTGCTGATGCAAATAGGAACCCTGAATCATAATTCTTCAAAATTTGCAATTGCATCATATATGGCCTGCACGAAAACCTCATTTCTTCCCACTTTTCTCTGCAAGATGTATTAGAGCTAATTGGTTATAATATTTGAGAGGTTTAAGTTGTGCTGGATGATTTAAATGTCTTTTCAATATGTGATCCTTCAATTTATGAGGAAGATGAGCTTCTTTCTTTAAAGTTTGTGTTTACAAGCTTGTTAATTCAAATATTTTCTCAAAATACAGATCAAAGATGCTTACAGTCTACAGTTTTTTGAGACTAATTCAAGCCGCTTGCCAAAATGGTGCAATGATGCAGACAATGTGAAGCTTCCCTATTGTCAGATCCTAGGAAAGTACAGAATGGAACTACCTGGATACAATTCCTT